TTTCCATATATCTTTCTTAGTGTTTTGATCAAGATGAAATCTTTAGTGTTTTTCAAGTTGTTAGGAGTATTGGCTTTTGTTTCTATGTTATATGGTGGTGTTCATTGTAAAGAGTGTACAAACATTTATACTCCATTGTCATCACATACTTTTAGATATGAGTTATTGTCTTCAAAGAATGAAACTTTAAAACAAGAGATTTTTAGTCATTACCATTTGACTCCTACCGATGATTCGGCCTGGCTTAACTTGCTTCCTAGGAAGGTGTTGAGGGAGGAAGACGAGTTTGATTGGGCTATGACATATAGAAAGATGAAGAATTCGGGTGGTCTTGGAGACGAGTGTTGAGGGAGGAAGACGAGTTTGATTGGGCTATGACGTATAGAAAGATGAAGAATTCGGGTGGTCTTGTAGAAGTTTATGGTTTGTTGAATGAGGTTTCACTCCATGATGTGAGATTGGAATCAAATTCAATGTATGGAGTTGCTCAGCAAACTAATTTGGAATACTTGTTAATGCTTGATGTTGATAGATTGGTTTGGAGTTTTATGAAAACAGCTGGTCTGGAGATTCGTGGTAAGCCATATGGAGGTTGGGAGAAACCAGAGATGGAGGTTCGAGGTCATTTTGTTGGTTAGTTCTACTTTCTATCTTTCAGCATTTGATTTATGGATGAATTTTGTTTGTTCGCGATACAGTGAGGATTCAGGCCTCAACTCACATGATTCAAGAATCAAACTTTATGAGTTTCTGAATGTTACTTTGAGAGACAACTACTTGTATATTCCAATATGTTCAGTTTTATGCAAACTCGTATCGTTTAGCTGACAGTTTGCTGTAACTTGAAGGTCATTACCTTAGTGCCACAGCACAGATGTGGGCTAGCACCTACAATGACAGTCTTGGAGAGAAAATGTATGCTGTGGTTTCTGCACTAAATGAATGCCAGGAAAAGATGGGTACAGGGTATCTTTCTGCCTTCCCATCAGAGCAATTTGATCGCGTTGAAGCTATACAACCAGTCTGGGCACCGTATTATACAATTCATAAGGTAGATGTTCAATTCTTGCTTCTTAACGCCATTTATGCTCCGCTTAACTAAATTGGACTTTGACAGATAATGGCAGGTCTTTTGGATCAGTATACTTTAGCTGGCAATCCTAAATCTTTGAATATGACTACATGGATGGTTGATTACTTCTACGATCGGGTGCAAAATGTGATCACCAAATATACTATTCAAAGGCACTGGGATTCGTTAAATGAAGAATTTGGTGGCATGAATGATGTTCTTTATAGGCTGTACAGAATAACGGTACAGTCTAACCTTTCCTGTCCTAATATCTAAAACTTAACTAATTTGATTTTGCAAATTGCAGCTTTCCTTAGCACAATATTTAGTCATTAATCGCCTCACATAAGCAACAATATGCATATATCATACTCTTTGTGATTATCTGAATAATCTTGCTTTTGTCGTCCTCTAAATGCTGTTGCAGGGTAATTCAAAGCACCTAGTGTTGGCTCATCTTTTTGACAAACCATGCTTTTTAGGACGCTTAGCTGTTAAGGTATAAATCCCCGTTCTCCACATTCTCACATTGTAACATACTAAATATCGACTGGTATCTATTACCATTACTTGCTATGATTCAACTAATTGCTGTGTTGACTATAATCGAAACACCTCATTCGCACATTTGAGAACGAACCAAGTTATTTACTGGGAAAGTCATTTCTGTTTCTTAATTTTTGTATAACTAAATTTGATTTTTAATCTTGTAATTTCTGTTTTTCTTTTGGTTTAGGCTGATCATATATGATCCATGATTACAATATATAGTTGTGTGTGTAATGAGCATTAACTTTATCGCTGATATCTTTCCCCTATCTCTTCTGTTAGGCTGATGACATATCGAATTTTCATGCAAATACACACATTCCAATTGTTATTGGATCACAACTGCGTTATGAAATTACTGGTGATCCAATTTCTAAGGTAAATGTTTTTGATTTTGGAAAACTATCTTTTCAGGAGTAAGTTCTGTAGTCCTGGTGTTTCCACTGGTTTACATGGGAGTAAATGCAACATTTTTTTTCTTTAGGAAATTGGGATGTTCTTCATGGATATTGTCAATTCTTCCCACGTCTACGCAACTGGAGGGACATCAGCCGATGAATTTTGGTAGTACAGTCTAAAAAATCTAACGGAGATGAACAGTTCTATTTATTTGTTTACTATTAAGCATAGTATGCACAAAGTTAATTCCTTTGTTTGGCTTACTTGATTTAAAGTTCTTTGTATCTCCCCTTCTCTTTGATACCAACCTGAGCAGGTCAGATCCGAAGAGGTTAGCAAGCAAGCTAAGCAAAGAGACCGGAGAATCGTGTACTACCTATAATATGCTAAAGGTGCGCTCATTGGTTTTTTTTGTGTGTTGTTTCCTATTTCGCTCGTAGGGGAAGAGAGTGTTTATTTATGGAAAAATGTGAATCATTTGTAGGTTTCCCGCCACTTGTTCAGATGGACGAAAGAAATAGTATATGCTGATTATTATGAGCGTGCATTAACAAATGGTGTGCTCAGTATCCAAAGGGGGAGAGATCCTGGAGTGATGATATATATGCTTCCACTTCGACCGGGTGCTTCCAAAGCTCGGACCTACCATAAATGGGGATCGCCGTTTAATGACTTTTGGTGTTGCTATGGAACAGGTGTTGGAATAAATACACTCTGATCTTTCGCCCTTCTGTTTTCTTTTTGATAGTCGTGGTATCCATAGTAGTGTACGGATACCTTGATAGTTCTACGGGTAGTTGCTACCTCCCTCTAGTATAAGTATGGAATAAATACACTCTGATCTTTCGCCCTTCTGTTTTTTTTTATAGTCGTGGTATCCATAGTAGTGTACGGATACCTTGATAGTTCTACGGGTAGTTGCTACCTCCCTCCAGTATAAGTACCGGATAACTCTGTCCATCAAAGATTGGACATACGGGACCATACTTTTCTTGCAAAGAGCAATCTTCTCTATGCCCCTGGCACAGCAAATATATTTATGTCTGCAACAAAAAATTGTGATTTTCTAAGTTTACCCCCAAAGATCTATAGCTTAAAAAAATGGAATGAATTTAAGTTGTATTTTCCCATTTTCCTCTATAGGGATTGAATCATTCTCCAAATTGGGAGATTCTATTTATTTCGAAGAGAAAGGTAATTCTCCTGGGCTCTACATCATCCAGTATATATCTAGCACTCTTGATTGGAAGTCTGGGCAAATTGTGGTGAGTCAGAGCGTAGACCCTGTTGTTTCGTGGGACAATCGCCTTCTAGTGACAATAATGGTGTCATCAAAGGGGGTACGCATTCTAATTTACTTTGTTCCTTTTTTCATTTGTTGGAACTTATAGTATTTGATAGAATGCACTACTCCTCCAATTTCCGAGCCTCAAAATGACATTTTTGACTTTAGCCCACTGATATGCTTAAGCCGCCCTTGTTTTGAAAATAACTTGTTGTGATGGATAATTCTTTCAGAATGAAACTAGTGCACCATCTACATTGAATCTGAGGATACCAAGCTGGACAGATTCAAGTAGCGCAAAAGCATCCTTGAACGGAGAGAACTTATCTCTACCTCCACCAGGTAACTTCCTTTCGATCACCAAGGGTTGGGGCTCAGGTGAAAAAATCAACATGGAGCTTCCTATGAATCTTCGAACAGAGGCTATTAAAGGTGATAATTAAGATTTTTCTTTGTCCGATCAATGTTATATGTCTCAATTCAAAAAAACTAATGGATCATACATTATACCTACTAACACACTCTTCTAAATGGTGCTTTAGATGACCGTTTAGAATATGCATCGATACAGGCAATTCTTTATGGTCCATACCTTCTCGCGGGCCATTCTACTGGCGATTGGGACATTGAAAGAAAATCCACTTCTCTCTCAGATTTGATAACTCCAGTTCCATGGGAGTATAATTCTTATCCATAATGCTACAACGGTCGACAGTACAAAAAAAGTATCTATTTCATAATATGTTGAAACTTACCATTTGCATCATTGTTGATTTTCCAGGGAAGTTGGTTGAGTTTGATGAGCCAAAGAAGCTGATAAATAAAGAGAATTCATTATTTGGAATGCTTGTTAAGGAATATTGGGCTCGTACAGAAAAGTGAAATCACTAATGATTTTTTATATTGCATCTAGGTGAACTAATCAATAACATACTTCAATGAGGGAGAAGGGGTGAAATCATTTCTGGAAAATAATGAAATGAGGGGGAAAAAAGAGTAATTAGGATTTAGTGATTTAGTCTATGTGACAGTGGAAAAAAAGAGTAATTAGTATTGGCATGCAATATGACATCCACATGGCATTTAACAACTTCCGTTAATAAGAAGAGTATTTTTGACCCAATAGTTTGACGGGAAGGGTAGTTTGAGCCGAAATATAGTTTAAGGGTAAATATGAGCTATTTCCAGATAGTTTAAGGATATTTTTGACCCTTTTTCGTACTCTAAATAAGGATTTTCATATATGAGTTCATTTTTCTTTCTTCTTATTAGATTGAATCTAATGATTAATGTGTTTAATTTTTAAATTATCCATTCTTTTCGTCTAAAGTCTAACACTCGGCCAACTTTTAGAATGTATATCTAGATACCTTAATTTATTTTTAATGTGTTTTGTGGACGCACAAAACTAAATTGACTCATAAATTTTGAAGTCGGTCTCGATGATGGGCAAATTGGCTTCATACCTTATTACATATGCTGAGGAATGAAGTAAATGCATACCATAAGAACAGTTCTTTTAAAAAATAATTCCTTCCATAAGTTCTCATCAAATTCAAAAATGTAATACCCAATTGATAAATGCTTTTGTAAAGTTTTTATCATGAATGAATATAATAGACTCGACTAATGTATAAAATCTCTAACATAACATGAATAAACTATTTTACTGAGACAAAGCCTTTAACATACCTATAAGCAAAACAAGAAGCAGTTGGAGCAAACAGATTAGGACTTGTTTCAAATTTTCGTAATGCAGAAAATTAAATGCAATTAAAATACAACAACATACTGTGAACTTTTGTTGTTATCTTGATTACTCTTTCTTAATATTTTTTCATGATTCGAGGCTCATATGTAGAATGATTTAGATCTCCTTGAAATTTCTTTGATATCTAAGAACGTCGACATTATTTTGGATTGATCTCCGAGAAGAACTCCGTTGACCACTCTTTAAAATAACCGAGTAGTCAATGTTGTGGCTTTGGCCAATGCTTGCAGAATGTTTTAAGAAAATTATGTAAAACTCCTATTTATATATAGTTGTAGGTGGTAGACAGTCTAAGTGTAAAATGAACTCTTTTACCTTCTTCTGATTGGTTTATATTAGTCATCCAACTTATCACAAATTTTGTGATAAGGTTTCTTGTGATTAATTATCCAAAATATTTTATATTAGACACGTGATGACTTTTGACTGGTTATTGAATTTGATCAGGATTGCCACAATATTTAAACACGTGACATCATTTTATTGGTCTTGAATATGATTAGGATGCCGTGTCATTTTACACATGACATGAGTTGACCCTCACAATGAAATGGACCTTGAATTAAATAAAATAGACTTATTCATTTGTAAAACTCAAATTAATCATTCATTTCAAATGAACATGAATTTAATTTAAATTATAAATGAATTTTTAGTCCAATAAAATTTATGTATTTATAAATGTCCCCGTGTCAAGGCTTGTCAAACCGTAATGATGAGGCTTGAAGTGGCGGTCCAGAACCACTCTTTCGTTTACTAGGTCGACACTTGTTAATATTTGACAACTTTGAAAGTGTAAGAGGGGATGAATTACTCCTTTTTCAATTTTCGTCTTAACGGTCGACTAATGATGTTCATCAATCAATTGTTATCAACAAAAAGTTAATAGATAATAATAAAAATGATGAATGTAAAAGTTATTACACCAGATATTTTTGTATTGGTTGGGATCTCAAATAGATCTTAGTTCAGTCCCCTTAGATTGAAAGTTTGTTCTCTTCTGATCTTTGTAATTTGGTTTGAGCACAAAGTTTAAATATAAATCCCAAGTCTACATTCTGCTTTTCTCTTTATTTTTATTTTTTTGATACAATACCTTACCATAAATATTTTTGTCTTCCCTCTATTTTTATTACACAGTAAAACATTAAGTAATGCAATGCTTAATAAAAATACAATAGACAAGGTTAGATAATTCAGACTGTTTGTATATCCTCACTTCTTTTTTAGAGCGTTTTCTTATAAAGTTGACGAGGCTGAAGTTTCTTCGAGAATAGATAGTAACCAAAGAGATTTGATTTTTGAAAAAAAACGAAGATAATTAATCATATTTCCAGATTAATTTCCAAGATCTCCTTGAAATTTGATTCGTTTTCCATCCTTGAGCCCTTGTAACGAGAGGGGTGATATTCTCAATTAGTCATTGAGATCTTGATTCCTTATTTAGCTCCCTCAATTTTTGCTTGATTGAATATATTGCCTTACAAATATTACCAGTATATTATTTAATATAATAATGAATTGGGGCTATATTTTAAGAAAATTGCTATGAAGAGTCTCAGATATTTGTATATATTTTGTATTTGTATACCTATTAATAATTTTGTTATTATACTGTACATATGTATACGTATTTGTGTATATACAAACTTCCATTTCTTGTTTTGTTCTATATATTTTTTTATTGTTGGTTGTTTTTTTCCTGTATATTATCACCTACAATATTTTTTATGAATCAATTGTATAATTTCGACACTTATTTACAATTACTTATTTATCTATATTAATAGTTTGTATATAATACAAATACCTATATATAATATGTTACTTGTATAAATTCAAATTGTATAATTTCTAAAAAAAAACAGCAAAATAAATAAACAAAAATTAGCATAACAAATGGAACTATACCCATAAAGTGTATTTAGACAAACTATAGGTAATGAGAATTATTAAGTTTCATCTCTAGGGTAGTATTTATGCTTTTTTTTTTCTATAAAAAAATGTACCTCATAATTCACAGGATGAGAGAAATTATAAGAACAATGCAATGCCAACATGCATACAATACAAATACAAATAATTGTATATAATATGTTACTTGTTTTGATTAAATTTTTCTACTATATTATTTCACAAAGCTTTCACAACTCTTCATAATTAAGTAATTTTTAAATAACCAAATACATTTGTAATGAACTTTTCTCCTTTTTAAACAAACTTATGAACTAAACTCAGTTAATTAATATGCTGAAAATAGGATGGAATCATAAAGCCAGACAACATAATAACCCTGTTCATATAGGTGTGAACATTTGATTTTTAGTAGTTACAACAAAACTATCCATTTTTAGCTTTTACTCCACTCTCTGCTTACCTTTTTGTCTTCTTATTTTGATTGCCTTCTAATGCTTTATTAACATTTTAAAATATATTATTTTATCATATTAATATGAGAAGAATTGTAATTTACAGTACTTTTAGTATATTTTGAATTATCTAGATATTACTAATAAAATAATGAATTAATCTAATGTACATAATTTTATAAGTACTAGTTTAGGAATGGAAGGTGCAACAAGTATTTTTGTCATGGGGTTAGCACTAAGCACTTTTGCTACTTTCTCTTATTGAATTACTTTGAAGGTTACAGCTTGAATTTGTCTTTACAAGAGTTGTTTTTTAGCTCATTTTCAACAATGGTTGTTAATTTTCTTGTCTTTTTTTTTAACCCTCCTCAACGCTCTACACACTTCTTTTGCTCTTGCTTTCACATGCAGGACTCTAGTATTGAGTTAGCTCACAATTGTCAAAATTTGTTATACTATAAATTGAGAGAATTTCCATATATCTTTCTTAGTGTTTTGATCAAGATGAAATCTTTAGTGTTTTTCAAGTTGTTAGGAGTATTGGCTTTTTTTTCTATGTTATATGGTGGTGTCCATTGTAAAGAGTGTACAAACATTTATACTCCATTGTCATCACATACTTTTAGATATGAGTTATTGTCTTCAAAGAATGAAACTTTAAAACAAGAGATTTTTAGTCATTACCATTTGACTCCTACCGATGATTCGGCCTGGCTTAACTTGCTTCCTAGGAAGGTGTTGAGGGAGGAAGACGAGTTTGATTGGGCTATGACGTATAGAAAGATGAAGAATTCGGGTGGTCTTGTAGAAGTTTATGGTTTGTTGAATGAGGTTTCACTCCATGATGTGAGATTGGAATCAAATTCAATGTATGGAGTTGCTCAGCAAACTAATTTGGAATACTTGTTAATGCTTGATGTTGATAGATTGGTTTGGAGTTTTATGAAAACAGCTGGTCTGGAGATTCGTGGTAAGCCATATGGAGGTTGGGAGAAACCAGAGATGGAGGTTCGAGGTCATTTTGTTGGTTAGTTCTACTTTCTATCTTTCAGCATTTGATTTATGGATGAATTTTGTTTGTTCGCGATACAGTGAGGATTCAGGCCTCAACTCACATGATTCAAGAATCAAACTTTATGAGTTTCTGAATGTTACTTTGAGAGACAACTACTTGTATATTCCAATATGTTCAGTTTTATGCAAACTCGTATCGTTTAGCTGACAGTTTGCTGTAACTTGAAGGTCATTACCTTAGTGCCACAGCACAGATGTGGGCTAGCACCTACAATGACAGTCTTGGAGAGAAAATGTATGCTGTGGTTTCTGCACTAAATGAATGCCAGGAAAAGATGGGTACAGGGTATCTTTCTGCCTTCCCATCAGAGCAATTTGATCGCGTTGAAGCTATACAACCAGTCTGGGCACCGTATTATACAATTCATAAGGTAGATGTTCAATTCTTGCTTCTTAACGCCATTTATGCTCCGCTTAACTAAATTGGACTTTGACAGATAATGGCAGGTCTTTTGGATCAGTATACTTTAGCTGGCAATCCTAAATCTTTGAATATGACTACATGGATGGTTGATTACTTCTACGATCGGGTGCAAAATGTGATCACCAAATATACTATTCAAAGGCACTGGGATTCGTTAAATGAAGAATTTGGTGGCATGAATGATGTTCTTTATAGGCTGTACAGAATAACGGTACAGTCTAACCTTTCCTGTCCTAATATCTAAAACTTAACTAATTTGATTTTGCAAATTGCAGCTTTCCTTAGCACAATATTTAGTCATTAATCGCCTCACATAAGCAACAATATGCATATATCATACTCTTTGTGATTATCTGAATAATCTTGCTTTTGTCGTCCTCTAAATGCTGTTGCAGGGTAATTCAAAGCACCTAGTGTTGGCTCATCTTTTTGACAAACCATGCTTTTTAGGACGCTTAGCTGTTAAGGTATAAATCCCCGTTCTCCACATTCTCACATTGTAACATACTAAATATCGACTGGTATCTATTACCATTACTTGCTATGATTCAACTAATTGCTGTGTTGACTATAATCGAAACACCTCATTCGCACATTTGAGAACGAACCAAGTTATTTACTGGGAAAGTCATTTCTGTTTCTTAATTTTTGTATAACTAAATTTGATTTTTAATCTTGTAATTTCTGTTTTTCTTTTGGTTTAGGCTGATCATATATGATCCATGATTACAATATATAGTTGTGTGTGTAATGAGCATTAACTTTATCGCTGATATCTTTCCCCTATCTCTTCTGTTAGGCTGATGACATATCGAATTTTCATGCAAATACACACATTCCAATTGTTATTGGATCACAACTGCGTTATGAAATTACTGGTGATCCAATTTCTAAGGTAAATGTTTTTGATTTTGGAAAACTATCTTTTCAGGAGTAAGTTCTGTAGTCCTGGTGTTTCCACTGGTTTACATGGGAGTAAATGCAACATTTTTTTTCTTTAGGAAATTGGGATGTTCTTCATGGATATTGTCAATTCTTCCCACGTCTACGCAACTGGAGGGACATCAGCCGATGAATTTTGGTAGTACAGTCTAAAAAATCTAACGGAGATGAACAGTTCTATTTATTTGTTTACTATTAAGCATAGTATGCACAAAGTTAATTCCTTTGTTTGGCTTACTTGATTTAAAGTTCTTTGTATCTCCCCTTCTCTTTGATACCAACCTGAGCAGGTCAGATCCGAAGAGGTTAGCAAGCAAGCTAAGCAAAGAGACCGGAGAATCGTGTACTACCTATAATATGCTAAAGGTGCGCTCATTGGTTTTTTTTGTGTGTTGTTTCCTATTTCGCTCGTAGGGGAAGAGAGTGTTTATTTATGGAAAAATGTGAATCATTTGTAGGTTTCCCGCCACTTGTTCAGATGGACGAAAGAAATAGTATATGCTGATTATTATGAGCGTGCATTAACAAATGGTGTGCTCAGTATCCAAAGGGGGAGAGATCCTGGAGTGATGATATATATGCTTCCACTTCGACCGGGTGCTTCCAAAGCTCGGACCTACCATAAATGGGGATCGCCGTTTAATGACTTTTGGTGTTGCTATGGAACAGGTGTTGGAATAAATACACTCTGATCTTTCGCCCTTCTGTTTTTTTTTATAGTCGTGGTATCCATAGTAGTGTACGGATACCTTGATAGTTCTACGGGTAGTTGCTACCTCCCTCCAGTATAAGTACCGGATAACTCTGTCCATCAAAGATTGGACATACGGGACCATACTTTTCTTGCAAAGAGCAATCTTCTCTATGCCCCTGGCACAGCAAATATATTTATGTCTGCAACAAAAAATTGTGATTTTCTGAGTTTACCCCCAAAGATCTATAGCTTAAAAAAATGGAATGAATTTAAGTTGTATTTTCCCATTTTCCTCTATAGGGATTGAATCATTCTCCAAATTGGGAGATTCTATTTATTTCGAAGAGAAAGGTAATTCTCCTGGGCTCTACATCATCCAGTATATATCTAGCACTCTTGATTGGAAGTCTGGGCAAATTGTGGTGAGTCAGAGCGTAGACCCTGTTGTTTCGTGGGACAATCGCCTTCTAGTGACAATAATGGTGTCATCAAAGGGGGTACGCATTCTAATTTACTTTGTTCCTTTTTTCATTTGTTGGAACTTATAGTATTTGATAGAATGCACTACTCCTCCAATTTCCGAGCCTCAAAATGACATTTTTGACTTTAGCCCACTGATATGCTTAAGCCGCCCTTGTTTTGAAAATAACTTGTTGTGATGGATAATTCTTTCAGAATGAAACTAGTGCACCATCTACATTGAATCTGAGGATACCAAGTTGGACAGATTCAAGTAGCGCAAAAGCATCCTTGAACGGAGAGAATTTATCTCTACCTCCACCAGGTAACTTCCTATCGATCACCAAGGGTTGGGGCTCAGGTGAAAAAATCAACATGGAGCTTCCTATGAATCTTCGAACAGAGGCTATTAAAGGTGATAATTAAGATTTTTCTTTGTCCGATCAATGTTATATGTCTCAATTCAAAAAAACTAATGGATCATACATTATACCTACTAACACACTCTTCTAAATGGTGCTTTAGATGACCGTTTAGAATATGCATCGATACAGGCAATTCTTTATGGTCCATACCTTCTCGCGGGCCATTCTACTGGCGATTGGGACATTGAAAGAAAATCCACTTCTCTCTCAGATTTGATAACTCCAGTTCCATGGGAGTATAATTCTTATCTAATATCTCTAACACAAGAATCTAGTAATGCAACATTTGTCATGACAAGCACGAACCGCTCTATTCAAATGGAGAAGTACCCTGAAACCGGAACAGATTCTGCTGTCAGTGCTACCTTCAGACTCATCTCAAATGACAAACAATCTGTCAAGCTTTCAAAACCAAAAGATTTTATCGGACTACTAGTCATGTTAGAGCCCTTTGATTTCCCTGGAATGTTCATAACTCATCTACGAAATGGCACAAGTCTCGGGATCACACAGTCCTCGGATGGGATTGGGTCGTTATTCCGTTTGGTTGCAGGATTAGATGGGAAGGACGGGACAGTTTCGTTAGAATCTGATGACAAAAGTGGTTGCTTCATGTATAGTGGTGTGGACTACAAAGATGTATCAATTGTCAAGCTTAACTGCAATTCGAAGTCGTCCTTCGATGCTGAATTCAAACAGGCAGCAAGTTTTATGTTAGGAAATGGGATTACCCAGTATCACCCTATCAGCTTTGTGGCAAAAGGTGCTAAGAGAAACTTTCTTTTGGCACCATTACTGAGCTTCAAAGATGAATCTTATACTGTGTATTTCAACATTCAATCATAGTGGTTTCAAATAATAATAACGCTAATTAACTGGTCGTTTGGTTGATTTTATTAACGAAATTCCCAACTCCCCCAACATATAAGTTTTCGTTTAAGTTATACAATGTTTGGTAGTTCAAGAAAAATTATCCCCGCAATTGGTTGGTCTTATTAAACTCAGCATGGTACTAAATGTTGTATAGAGTAAATTTGTAAGAACAAGATACCATAAGGATGGCCTTAAAATTTTGCCCCTCATATTGACGATCGTTAACTTTTGTCCCTACATAATTTTAATAAAAATAAATTGACCAAAATACCCTCCTACCTCTTCCATATGTTCGGCAAACTACTAGTGTAGATGAGATTAGTATTAGAGAAAAAAAATATATATGCAAGATATGTCGAGACATTAATAAGGAGTCCATACGGCTTTACGGAATTAAATTCAGGTAAGTAGAACTCTCAAAATTGATTGGAAGAGATATGTCGAGAAGTCAAAGGGAATAGGTTGTGTTATAAAAAAAAGTGACTTTTCTCGAATTTCCGAGATGCAGTACTTTCGGCTATCCCACTATAGCCGGAGGCGTCCCACTATAGCGGTGTGCATACTGTTATAGCAGGGTAAGTTCCGCATAAAATATTGTTTTGCCGAACATATGGAAGAAGTAGGAGGGTATTTTGGTCAGAAACAACCCCGAAACCTCCTAATTTATGCACTTTTGTTCTTGGAGGTGGGAGGAACGATTCTGGGTTGTTTACACTCATTTTCCATGAAATTCGTCGGTAATGGTAAGATTTTGACTCCCCAACCTTGTGCTTTGATTTTTAAGCCTTATATATTGGTCTGGGGTAAAGATTTGTTGATGATCTGGATAATTAATAGGTTGTTAGTGACTGATTGTTGCTTTTATTATTTGTTTTAGACTAAGAACAAGTCGAGGCACTTCGTAAGGGGAAAGCTCGGGTTTCTTAGAATTTCCAAGAGGCTTGATTCGAGGTAAGTGATGGTTGTATGTTTTTGGTCTATGTATGTATACATGTCTACTGCTTTGTAGTATCATTGATGCAATTTATGGTAGGGAATACATAGGGGGACATATGAAATGACAATATGTTGATAATCTAATACAATGAACTTGTTATTGTGACTTACGGTTTTCAAGTCGTAATGTTTATTGTGCTTGTGATTGTGCATGATTGTTTCTGATTGTTGATTGACTCGGTGTAATGACCCTCTTGGTCATTTCTGTGTCTTGCATTCTGTGTGTCGTTTAGAGTGTTCCTATAGCGACCCCAAGTCATTTATGACTTGCTGGGACTGACAGTTCGGTCACCTGGTCGTTCGTTTGGTCTTGGTGCGAGTTTTTGTGTTTTGGAACTTATGAACCTTGAACGATCATTTTCGATCAAAAGTTCAAGAAGATGACATCGGAATCCAATTCTGATGATTCCATCAGCTCCGGA